CTAAAATATTTGTTATTTTTTCTCATTATAAGAATTATACATGTTTATTTTAGAAATTTGTATACTGTAGAAACATAAACAAAAATTCAATTTTTAGGCCTGTTTAGATGTAACTACTGTTAGTGTTTGGGAAGTTAAACAGAGTAGACAGTTTTGCTTCCCCCTTTCTTTTCAGTTAATGTACATGATTATTCAATATGCTAATATTAATGTTATTGGTAACACTACATTTTTTAGTTTAGAGGAGGTGGGGAACCTGTGGCCTTGGGGAATCCAAATTTTACAGAACGAACCCTTTTGGATTTGCAGCTTCCCCAGCCCTTTAAAGCTTACATTTAAAGGGGATAGTCATTTAAAATAGAAAAGGATGAAGTACAGTCCTCTTGTTTAACCACTTGAGATAAACCAGAAAAGTAAGGCACTTGGCCTCCTTGATTGGGTGGTAATTTACTTCAGATTGGAGAGTGCTTGGCTTCTAAGAAGGTGCAAATTTTACTTTAATATGCTGTCATTTAATCTCCATGTTGAATTGGCTTTGATATTGTAAATCTTTTAGAATAATCATCAGAAATACTTATCACCTGATTGCTATGGCTGAGTAATAAATACATTTTATCTTTTTGATGTTGTAGTTGTCTCACGTTGACCAGGCAAGCTTCCAGGTTGATGCCTTTGGAACTTCATTCGTTCTCGATGTCGTGCTAAACCAGTAAGTGTTGAGCTGCACTAACTTTTGTCAGACAAACATTGAATCCACTTTCTATGCTTCTGTAAAGTTTTTTTATTGATGTTTTACTTCATCTTCCTATGGCAGTTAAATACTACATTTAAAACTGTATCTATTGACTGTGTGTTATAAAGTCTGACAAATAACAGTAGATATTCATTTGAAATTGAACAGCTATAACAGATTTAAGAATGTAAAATGGAAGGCAAGAGTTACTCCAGTATTTTGTATAAGACTGTGTGACCTAAGTTTCCTATGAATGACAATAAATTATGAAAATAATACTTTGAGTATTGTAGTGTCTTTCTTAAGAAGAGAAAGTTATACTTTTTTGATTAATGATTCAGAGGACTGGCAGCATGATATGTGATGCTAAATAATACCTGGTGTCCATTAGATGCTTTGATTTGGGTGTGGATTTCTGTGAGGTTTAGGGTACTGAGATTATTCTGTAAATACAATATAATTTTGGAAATAGTCATTTGTCTACCTAGAATTTTAGATTTGGAAGGGGCTTTTGATAAATCATTGCAGTTAATCTCTTGCCTTTGGGTAAGTGTAGTGTTTAATCTGGTTAGTTATCTGTTCACTTTTTACAAAAAGATGTCTATCCCACTCTTATCATGGACAAATGGAAGAGACCAGGGTTCTGCCAGGTCTGTGTTTTTCAGCTGGGCAGCATTGGACCATAACTTTGCTGGAAGCAACTATACAACAGCTCAGGAAGAAAGTTTGAGGCCAGAAGTTCAGACAATTAGATTGAAAGTGAGAATTTGAGCCTAGTCATTTATGTTGGGGAACCGGCTAGGTGGAAGACTGCCAGTTAATTTTAAAAAGGATGTAAGACGTAGGACTTTGGTATGTGCTAT